CGCCCGGCCGCCCCCTCGAGCAGGTGCCGGGCCTGGACGCCTGGCGCGCCCGCGTCCGCAAGGACCCGCGCCACTTCCTGCACCTGTGCGCCGACCTCGACTGCACGCCCGACATCTGGGCCCTGCACGACTGGAGCTCGTGGCTCACGCCCTTCACGCGCGAGGGCCTCCGCCGCTTCGACACTGCCTTCTACCTGTGCTGCCTGCACCAGGCGCCCCCTGTCTACCCAGACGCAGCCGAGGTGGTGGGGTGCCAGGTAGGGCGTCCTCATGGCGGCCGCGGAGTGGGGTGAACACTCGCGCGCCAGAGTGAGCGACGACGCGGCTGGTGGCCAGCGCTCATGGGGGCCTCTGAATACACCAGCCCTAGAGAGACTGGCTCACAGCCTCAGGGTCTTACAGCCCGTGGGTGGGTGGCATGGAAGCGGGGGACCCAGGGGCACACGTGGGCGAATCGCACCCTGCTTTCCTTGGTTGCTTTACAGCCCCAAGCCCTTGAGATGTCTTCGCCCGTGGTTGTCCCAGAGGTCCCTGCAGAGATTCCTGGTGACCCTGCTTCTGGCCCAAGCACTTCAGAGCCAACCGCATTTCATCCCCACAGCTATTTGTCTTTCCTCTTCTAATTGCTTCTTGGCCTTTTGACTAAGATATCAAGTGTCATATCTTTACGCTTCGACTCTACCGTGTATGGTTTCAAAGTTTTTTAATTTATCAAGACTTGTTTGATGGCCACATACACGTCTTGGTGAATGTTCCCGAAAAAAGAATGCATATGGAGTGCTTGTAAAAATATCTTTGAGGTTAAATTGTTGGTAAGGTCTTTCAGGTCTTCATGTCGTTTACTTGTTCCCACAAAGACAGAGAGATGCTGAAATCGTCAGTGAATTACTGAACTTGTTTTTTTCTCTTTTCATTTCTATCAGGTTTTTTGCTTCATGTATTTTGAGGCATCCCTGTGAAGTGCTGTGTAAACATGTAGACTGTTAAAGATTGAAGGATTGACCTTCTGATGATTAGGAAATAACCTTGAACCCTGGTAATACTCTATATTCTGAAATCTGAAGTCTACTCTGATACTAATGTAGCCCCTGTGTCTAGCAATAGGATGAAAATTTCTGCCTTTTAACTGTGGTATTTCAATCAATAATGATATTATTGATTAAGTTAGATTAAAACGACCATCTTTCTATTAGTTTTTCAGTCTGTCCCATTTGTTCTTGCTGTTTTTCTTTTCTTGCATTCTTTGGAATTATTTGTACAAGCCCTGTTTATCTCCATTGTTGACTTGTGCTTCTTTGTGGCTGCTCTAGAGTTTGTAATATACATTTTACTATTCAGATGTATACTTAGAGCTTTACAACAATAATCTTCCACTTCTTTGGAGGGTCCCCTCTCCCTTCCCTCGTTTTATGATGCTGTTTTCATACCTTTAACTTATTTCTACTAGAAACTCTAGAATAGAATATTAGGACCATGAAAATAAGGAAGGAAATAACATTTATATTTCCTTACATATACACATACTATCTTAACACTCTTCATTCCTTTACGTAAATTTATAGATTTAAATCTGTAGGTTTGTATCATTTTGTGTAAATAACTTACTTTAATAGTGCCTTCATTCATATCATATCTTCTGCCTATAAATCCTCTAAAATTTTATTGTCTAAAAAAAATTCTGTACTAATTTTTTTTCTTTGAAAGCTACTTTGGCTGGGTATAGAAATCCAGGATAACAGTACTTTGTTATTTGTATAACTAGCCACTCGAAAGTCTACTTTTAGCTCTTTGTTCTTCTGTATAAAATGTGGGTGGTTTTTGGTGTGTATGGCTAGTTTAGCTATTTCCTCTTCATTATTGGTGTTTGGCAATTTGATTATAATACACATGGTTTCTTCTTTATTCAAATATTTTCACCTGTCACTAGTTTGGGGGACTCCTAACTACTTGTATATTGGACTACTTGGTATAATCCAGTGTACTTCTCATTTCAGATATTTTCATCTCTCAAAATTATATTTAGTTCTTTGTAATCAATGAGATTGACTGAATTTTCATCTGGCTATGAGTCACATTTTCCTGGCTTGTCATAGGTCTTGAGCTTTTTGATTAGATGTTAGATACTGTGATCTTATGTTGATTATTACCCTTTATCATATTCCTTTAAAGAATATTAGGCCTTTCTTGGCAGAAAGTTGAGTTACTCAAATTAACTTAACCCTTTTGAGTGTAAGGATTGTAGAGCAGGTGTATAGTAGTCTTCATCCTGGGATTAATTTACTATTTTTTAAATCTTCATTTATTCTTTGTTTAATTTTTCTTACATCAATGCGTCAGTTCTATGGTTTGAGCTTTTATTTGGCTTCTCCATATTCCAGATATAAGTGAGACCATCAGTATTTATCTTTTTCAATCAAGGCCTAATTTAGCTGCTGTGTGACCATCCTGGGGTCTACTGTTATTTATATTGAACAAAGTTTCTCCACTATTGTTGGAGGAGATTAGGAAAATTCCTGGTCTTTGATGAGCCTTTGATGGTCTTTGTTAGTCTTAATGTGCTTGTCCTTAAGGTAATTGTCCTTTTCTCAAGAATCATTGTTTTCACGTAGTTTCAGCTTAGGATGTATAGATTAGTGTTTAGCAAAGTCTCAAGGGTACCCTCTACAGATTTCTGGAGTTCTACTCTGTAGATTTATCTTCTCAGGTACACATGCCTTCCGTATTCTAACCTGTAGGGGCTACCCCAAACTGTGATCTGTCTCCTCAACTCAGCAAAACCCCTACACTGATTTGTGCTTCAGCATGGGAATTACCTTGAGGCAGAAAGCCTGGGCAATAGTTGGATTCACCTAATTTGATTTCCCTTTCTCACAAATTCTACATTTTCAGTGTCAGAAAATGGTAGTGTCATAGATTTTTGTCCACTTCTGGTTTATATTGTGATGGAAGATTGTAATTCTAATTCTTAAAACTGAGAGAGGAGATTCCAATACAAAGTTTTTCAACTGTTGTAGGTTAGTGGGTCTCAACTGGGAATGACATTCCCATCCTAACCCTGAATACATTTGGCAACCTCTGAGACACTTTTGGTTGTTAACAGCTGGGGGCCTGCCTAGCCTGGGTAGATCTGAGGGATGACGCTAAGCAGTCTTCAGTGCACAGGACAACCTCTCATAACAGAGTATTGTCTTACCTAAAGTGTTTGTTTATACACCAAGGAGTGGAAACAGGAGATTTAGAGTGGGCACCACCTCCCAATCTCCTGCAAAGTCTGAAGCTCAGAATTTCTAGAGAAGCTTCTCATCTGTAAATTGAAAGTATGCAGGATTATCCTAAAGATTGAGGATATCTGTGTAAAGTATTTTGAGCAGTGCTTTATAAGCAACAGGTAACTGACATGATAAATTATTTTCACTGATGGTCTAGACTAATCTGAACAGGTTAAAGTAAGTGGATTGATCTATGTCATTTAACGCTTTATCTTATTCTTATCACTTCACTCACATTGAACTGAGCAATCAGAATGCTTTGTGGTCTTTTGAGGCCAGAGCTCTGATTCTCAAAAAGGAGCCTGTATCTATTTTAGAATAAGCTGAGCTATTTGTGAAACATAAATTGCTTAACCCATAGATCGAAGATTTAGCAGGTTTATCAGTGGATATTTAAGCACTTAAAATTGTTTGTAAACCTTTGGCCTATGGTCTATCCAAGGCAGAAGCAAGTTTAAACTCCCTTGGTTTTGGGCATGGATAGTGGTTTCCTCCAGTTTAAGGGTGGGTATTTAATCGACCTGTGAAAGAAAGACCTTTTGGGATTATTCCATATTCATTGAATCAGCTCTTTTTATCAAAGTGTATATGGAAGGAAGGTTTAGAAGGTAGCACAGATCACAGCAGTGAGGACACTTAAGTTAATGATAAATGGGCAAATACAGTCTGGTTGATAACCCTGCAGTTCTACACCTGTGACTGCAATCTGCCCTTTGACCTTCCTGAAAGTTCCTGTGACATCTGAGCTTTTACTCATATTGTGACACAGATCACACTACATTTTGGTTAATTTTTTAAAGATTTATTTACTTACGCATACAGAACTGGGGTACAGGCCAGAGGTGCAGGGACGGTGAGAGGATTCACCAGAGATGGGATGGGGAGCAGAACAAGCAGATGGATGAAGTGCACTGCTGAGGGGAGCAGTGGGCAGGTCAGGAGAGGTCTCCGCACCATGTGGGTCAGCTCCCTGGCGGGGGATTGAACTCGTGGTGAATTGGCGATGGTGAGCTTCACGGGGCTGCGCTTTAACCTGTTGCACCACCAGGGTGGGTCCACATTTTGTTTATTAAAGACCTCAGAGAGCGTGAGTTTGTTGTCTACCAGCATATTCTCAAGACCTCACCAAGATACTCATTTATGAGACGTGCAAATGGGCACCAAATTCTCTATGTCCTGTCATGAGTTTACATTTCAGCATCTTTCTTTGGAGTGACTAGCATTATCTTGCCTCCTCAGTATCTCCTCACTTTATGCTGAACCCTTCAGATTTCTCCTATTTCTCTGGATCAATAGTCCAATAATCAGCCTCCTTAAGGGAAGCAACTCCACTTTCCTCACCCTATCTTTTCATGTTGCCACAGCAAAGCACACTATGAAGCAATTTTATATCTTCATTTAGTTCTTAGGTATTGCTCTAACAATCTCAAATCTTGCATTGTCTATTGAATAAACCTTGGCAAATCCTACCTTTTTCTTCCACAGTGGTTATCGCCATCAGAGGCTATCAAAAGTTTTATATCAAAAGAAATTTGGTTGGCCCCCCCACAATTCTATGAAATGAGAAGACTTGAAAATTTTGTCTCTCTCTCTGACTTGCACAAATTTTGTTTGGATCGTTCATTGGAAGGGGTGCAAAGATTGTTGCCAATCACGTTATTAACAGCTGATGGGATGGTCCAGCTTTTACCAGGTAAATCAGTAAAGCATGATGTTTGTGTTAGTATTCACATGTAACTTTTAATTATTGACATTTAAGGGACTGTATGGCAGAGACATGAGTTACAGACTGTTATACACTAAGACAGTATTAAATATTGTCAAAATCTATAAGGCAGCCATAGTATTTATTATAAACAGCAATTCTGAATAAATCACTATACATAATACATACATTTATATAAATATAGTTCTTAAACTGACAAATTTCTTTTTCACATCTTGCTTTTGTACATTTTAAGTTTGAATTATGAGAGCTTGAAAACTCAAGTTACTTTAATTAGGCAGTTTATAGATGGTCTGTTTGGGGGTGAGTACAGGAGGGAGAAAGCACTCTGTGATCTGTCTTACCATAGCTAATTGTCTTCATTCTCAGTGATGTTTGTCACTCAGCCTACAGGTGAAAGGTTTAGCAGTTTTGATGTATAAATCATAATTCTTGTAATCTTAAAATTATTAGAGCAGCCCATAAAGAAAACACTCAGTTAGATGGCTGTGAAGATTGATGTGAACATTGACTATGATACAGTCATGAACTAGAAGGGAAGTTCCAGACTGTGATGACAACAGAGTCTTAAATATTTTCGACTGGAGATATAGGAATAGGGGGAAGAAGGTTATTAAAAACAAATAAAAAGATGATTATTTAATTGCTGATTATTTAATGTAATGTTCGCTTAGTTACTAATGGTTAGTTCCAAATCAGTAAAATAGAAATAAATACAGGCTGATTTTTGTGTGAGCAACATACTGGAATATTTTATAAAATAACATTCTATGAAATTAAAATATTTTGCAGGAGATGAGCTGTACTTAGAAGATTCAAAGTTTTTAGAAGAACTTATATCCACTGAAAAAAAGAATGAAGAAATCATGAAGGAAGGCAAAAAATTTCACCGAGTCGTGATATACAATCGTCATCTTTATGGCATCTATGTGACACTTCAGTCAAAGTATAAACATGTTTATCCCGAGAACTACATAGTAAATAAGAGCCAGTTGTAGGCAACTGCTTTGTCAGGTGGCCTACTTGAAGTCTTCCTAGTGAATAATGAAGTAGACTGGACTTTTGTGAAACTTAAGGTACTTTGTGACTATAAAAGTTGCAGCACAAACTTTCATCTTTCAAGTACACTTTCATATTTTAAGAGTTCTCTTGCTTATTTTATCCTTTAAAACTTAGAGTATGCCACGAGTATAAGGCATTAATGATCTTGTTTTTACCTCCCCCCAAAAAATTCACAGGTATTCTCACTACTATATTGTCTACTTATCTCAAAAGTTGAAATAAAATGTCCTGTTACTATCTTCTAACCGCCCGGTGTATTAGCACTTTCCTTGATGTGCTTAGGAGACTGAGCCAGGAATCCCTTAGATTTTCTGCTGGTGTTAAGGTTCCTTGATGAGCAGACTGAGACAACCTTCAAATGACAGTGTCATTATTTGCTTTTATGTCTTGAGCTTGATGATTAGGATACACTGTTTAAAAGCAAATGGTATTAATTACTGGGATTACCAAACTGGAAGTCTGTTTTCGTTCATATTTAAGGACATTATATAGCCTGCACAAAAGCTGTAATTATTTTTACTCTGGAGTGTTAGTTAATGAATACAAATTTGTTAAAGGGATATAAAGCCTTTCATCATTTACTAGAGTTTTAATTAAATGTTTATTTGTTTGTTT